GTGTTACGGAATGCTTCTGTGGCTGACATGTCTGCACGGGACAGCGCAGACTTCAATTCTGTGAGGTACTTCACAGGCAGATTCCCCTGCTTGAAGATGAATGCTGAGGAGATGGACAAGCTTGAGGGTCAATTCATGACCTACCAAACCGATGCTCTGCCAGAAAGCATCACCAGCTGTGACAGACCAGACACACAGTGGCACCTGATGAGTCAGCTGAAGGATGGAAATGGCCATCTCAAGTACCCTTTACTCTGCAAGGTAATGCTGGCTATCCTCTGCATCTTCCATTCCAATGCAGACTGCGAACGCATCTTCAGTCTTGTCACAAAAAACAGAACGGAGTTCAGACCTAGTATGGGAATGGAGACCCTGAGTAACCTCATTACCCACAAACAATTCATGGTGGCAAAGGGGTCTGTCTGCTACAAGCAGGCGTACTCCAAGACAACTCTTGCCAAGGCCAAGTCAGCAACCTATGACCATCTAAAGTGAGAGGTTGATCAGATGGTCATGTCACAGCCAAAGGTTCCCTTGAGTTGAACTCTGTTCTAAAAAAAGGCTGTGTACAGGTTTTTCATGTGTTATTGTTCAGTATTGTTTCATGATGAATTCTGTTCGGTTAATAAAAATATTTTTTTGTGTATGTTGGTGTTTAATTGTGTGCAACAGTACAGGGAAAAGGAGAAATTATACACAAAAAATTTACTTTGCAGAAAAACATGTCCTAATATGACCTAGATTGCATCTCAGAGCATGTAAAGTCTCTGGCTTCTGATAAGATAAGATAAGATAACTTTTATTAATCCTGTAAGGGAATTGCACATGTTATAGCAGCAGGGTGATAGGAAAAGGAATAGGGAACTATATATACATACAATTTACAGTAAAATAGAAACAGTTGAATACAAAAGATAAATAGAAATAAGTAAAGTAAAAATGAAATAAGGGGGCATTCTGGGGGCTTCGGCGGACCTCGGACCCCCGCCGGAAAAAAAATTGCCTTCCTCCGCTCGGCATGCTACTACTTTCTATAACACAATGTTGGCAGCTCTGTATATGTCTCTGGTTGGGTGATTTTAACATGAACTGTTCTGGTCAGTAACCTTTTGACATGTGATGATTAACAATAATAACAGCCATAATTACATACAGAGAGCCAGAGCTTTGGATAATATCAGCTGAGTTGCTCCACTCGATGACTTGTTTACTGTTTGGTTTGCAGACCTTTTAGTTGTTGTTTGGTGATTAACACAAGCTATTTTTTAGCCATTAGCCTCTACGCTATTGCCTAGCAAGTGTTGACAGACACTTTGGCACACTAGATCAATGGTAAGAGACACTGAATCAAGAACAACATGTTTGGATAGTGAGTGCCTGACTGTAGAGTAGCTGAGATGAACCTTACTTTTCCCTGGTGCATTCAGACAGCACAGCTACAGTGGGAAATTGAAACTAGTTTCCATATGGTATGGTTTAGGGATGGAATATTTGACTAACCATCCTCCCTGTGATGTTAATCCCGTCTAAATGTGGCTTTATTTTGGGAAAAATGTGTAACATGCTTGTGTCTGTCTTGCAAACTGAATTGAAATGTGTTCCCACAGGATGCCATTGAGGAAAAACTTGACCCGAAGCAGTACCCGTACATCTCCCAGCGACAAGCATCTTCCAAAACCAGCGCTCCATCAAGGTGTGTGTTCTTCAATACATGAAGCTTACACTTTGTGTAACGCTTTAAAATACAATGAATTGCTTTTATAACTTTATAATTAACTTAGTAGATGTGAACCATGCAGTTATTTTGCAGTTAAAGCTTCTGTATGCTTGTTTTACATCTTCCAGTGCTCGCTATGGTAACTGGCATAAGAACAGGGGCCCCACAGAGATGAAGACAGGGCCCAGGATCATCGTTTTTATTATTGGAGGGATGACGTACAGTGAGATGCGCTGTGTGTATGAGGTCACACAGGCCAATGGGAAGTGGGAGGCTGTGATCGGTGAGTTCACTGGACAGAAGTCCGTACACTCTACTGAAGAGTACACAACATGTTTGGAATAACCATTTGTATATGACATTACATTGTTAAATCTAGAATGTTATTCCTATCAAGGTGTCTAAAACTCCATTTCAACATTACTGCTACATTTTGTTGCATACATCGACTAAATACAGTTCAAATGCTATAATTATAATTTGTATACTGTAAATTCAGAAAAGGTTTCAGCTAGTGAAGTATAGATGCTTAGTTTAATTCGAAAAGATTATATACAATGACACAATATCCTCATAGTTCTCTGGGTTGTATTATTCATTATTGTTCTTAATGTGGTTTGAAATGTTGGCTCCAGCCTTGGCTGACATGCTCTTGGATAAATCAGTGTTTGGACCTTTATAAGGGTCTTTGTGGATATGGAATAGTTTCCTGTGAAGCTTGACTTCAATGTTACACTGACTCCTGAGACAGTCCTATTTATTAGTAACATGTAACTTTGAATACCCACTGTGAATTTAATATTGTTGTTGTCATGATCAGTTTAATATATTATGTTTATTACGTGATAAACCAAGATTCAGGATTGAGTCCTTGCTAAGCTTTCAGGCTGTTCTCCCCATAGGTTCCACCCATATTCTGACCCCCCCGAAGTACCTAAAGGAACTACAGCACCCAGACTTCCTTGACCCCAACGCCCCTCCAGAGGGCACAGAGGGCACAGAGGGCCCAGAGGAGCCGCCTGCAGAATGAAAACACATTTGGAAGTAAATACGCAAATCATGCTGTGGTCTGTAAATCCCTGTTTGTCAACCCCCCCCACCCAGTGAGCCATTGATCCCTGCTCCAGCTGAGCCTGGTCCTCCTGCTCCATATCTATATCTTGAAGCAATATGACAGCATTTTGGGCTTACCTCTCAGAGAATATATTCTCTAATAACGTGCATGTCTCTATAGTGGCTCACTGTCTCTACTGCTCCCTGCTAACTCTGCATATACTGTACATGCTGTTGGCAAGATGAGAACTTGGAGCACATACAGCTGACTACATTTATATAGTGATGATCTAATCGTAAAGACCACTCAAAGGGCTTTTCCACTCATTCACTGGAGGCCGAGGCTGTCACAAGGTGCCGTATGATCAGGAGAGAGGACCAATCACAATCATCAGCCATCAGGAGCACTGTACAGTTCATTACCCTGTCAAAGGACATTTTAACATGTTGACTGCATTGGCTGGGGATTGAAAGTATTCCATGTTTCAGTTTTTACAAAGATAGTTTTATGACCAGGGACCAGTGAATGTTTTTGTTTGATTTCCGAGTTAAGCAGTAAAGTAGAATTACATGTGTTCACTTAGTGGTAAAGTGTGGCTCTGTGTTCCCTCCCCAGTCAGTAGAAAGACTGAGCAGCAAACATACAGTGAGTGCAGAATGACTCCATGCCTACATAGTTGTATATCTTTTGGCATTATGCTCCTGTTCCAGGGGCTGTAGTCAAGCAGTACTTGACTCTCTTTGTGCTCTCATTGAACAGTATGTCCCGGCCCGTCCACACAGCAGCTTTAAAAAAATCTTCCAACGCTTCTCTGCCCATTCACTTTGAATGGGGTGACGTCACTTTGCCTCGCTTTTCGCCAAACTGCATTATGGGGAAGCAAAGCGAAGATTCCTTGATTTTATTTTATTTATTATTTATTTTAGATTTTATTGATCTGTGTGAATCTTTGCTGTACTGTTTTTTTCACGCTTACCCTGTTGCTGCTTTGTACAACTGAATTTCCCCTCGGGGATTAATAAAGGTTCATTTTATCTTATCTTATCTTATTTCCAGGATTTTCAGGATTCAAAAGTTGAGCAATGTTCAACTTTTGAAGCTGAGGTGGAAGCGTCAGCCAAT